GCATTTCCATAAGAAGGGCAAGCAATAACCATATAACTTTTGAATATGATGTCACTACTCCCAACAAAAAGCGCTCTGTCTTTGATCAACTTCGAGAATCGACTGCAATAACTTTTGTGTTTGAGAGGTTAGGTCCATTGAAGAAAAACAAGAATCTGAGAAGTTATTTAAAAGTTACAACGCTTGCTACACATTTGGTTTGAAAGGATTTCAAAAGTTTGATTCCTTCTAGAATGAGGCGACGAGTGGAACTTGTAGTTTCATGTAAAGAGGAGCTCAATGCAAAGGTTCACACCGTGGTTTACACTAAGGAGCGCGAGGAAGATGAAGAAAGTGTAGGCTCTTCAAATCATGTTACAATCCAAAATGAGTACGATTCTCTGCCTCAAATGAAGATTGATGAAGAGTTAGAAGATATTGTCTGGTGTTGTCATATATCTGTCAATGACAATGATCCTTTAGAAGAAGAAGATACTGGAGATGCTCCACCAGAACTTGAAGAAGGAGTGAAGACCACAATAGATCCCTTAAAGGAAGTTAACCTTGGCACTGATAAAGACCCAAGGCCTACTTACTTGAGTGCCTTTTTAGAAGTTGATGAAGAAATCACTTATATGAATATACTCAAATAATATAAGGACGTCTTCGCTTGGAGTTATAAAGAAATGTTTGGCTTGAATCCTAAAGTAGCAGTCCATCAGTTGGTAGTCAAAAATGGTGCTTGTCCTATTAAGCAAGCCCAAAGACGTTTTAGGCCAGACTTGGTTCCATTGACAGAGAATGAAGTCAACAAACTCATCAAGGCAGGATTCATTCGTGAAGTTAAATATCCTACATGGATTTCAAGTATTGTTCCTGTAAGGAAGAAGAATGGCCAAATTTGAGTTTGTGTTGACTTCAAGGATCTCAATAATGCATGTCCTAAAGATGAGTTCCCTCTTCCCATTCCTAAGCTAATGATTGATGCCACTACTGGTTATGAGGCGATGTCATTCATGGACGGTTCTTCTGGCTATAATCAAATCTGCATGGCACCAAAGGATGAAGAACTCACCGCATTTCGCACGCCTAAAGGTATTTATTGCTACAAAGTGATACCTTTCGGTTTGAAGAATGCTGGTGCTAGATATCAAAGGGCTATGCAAAATATATTTGATGACTTGCTCCATAAAAATGTTGAATGTTATGTGGATGACCTGGTGGTAAAGTCGAGAAAGAGGAGTGATCATTTGAAAGACTTAAGAATGGTGTTTGAGCCTCTTCGAAGATATCAACTAAGGATGAATCCATTGAAGTGTGCCTTCGGAGTAACTTCTGCAAAGTTCCTTGGCTTCATTGTGAGACATCGAGGAAATTGAAATAGATCAAGCCAAAGTTGATACAATATCGAAGATGCCTGAGCCTCGAAATATCCATGAGTTAAAAAGTCTCCAAGGAAAGCTATCCTACTTGAGGAGGTTCATCTCAAATATATCAGGACGATACCAACCATTCGGTCATCTCATGAAGAAAGGTGTTCCTTTTAATTGGGACGAAACATGTAGCGATGCCTTTAAAAGTATCAAGTCGTATCTAGCGAAACTTTGGCAACCCCTATACCTGGAAAGCCATTGATACTTTACATTGCGACACAAGAAAGATCCGTAGGAGCCCTGTTAGCTCAAGAGAATAGTGAAGGCAAAGAAAACTCTCTTTACTACTTGAGTAGAATGATAACACCAAATGAGCTGAACTATTCGCCAATTGAAAATTGTGCTTAGCGCTAGTCTTCTTAATTCAAAAGATGAAGCATTATTTTCCAGTACATGTTGTTCGTCTTATTTCTAGAGCAAATCCCATCAAGTTTGTTATGTCGAAACATGTCCTTAGTGACCGACTAGCAAGATGGTACCTCCAATTTCAACAATTTGAGATCGTGTACATCCCTCAAAAAGCTGTGAAAGGACAAGCATTGGCGAATTTCTTAGTAGACCATCCGATACCAGATGAATGGGAGTTAACTGATGAGCTTCCTGATGAAGATGCAATGTTAATTGAAGTTCAACCTCCTTGGAAAATGTACTTTGATGGAGCTGCACATCGTGACAGAGCTGGTGCTGGTGTAGTGTTCATCACTTCACAAGAAGAGATCCTACCATTCTCCTTTACTTTGAAGCAATGTTGCTCCAATAATGTTGTTGAATACCAGGCGTTGATACTTGGACTTGAGATGGCCGTTGACATGAAGCAATTAAACTTACAAGTCTTTGTCGATCAACCAACTCTTGGGAAGTTATGAGGTGAAGAATCCCGAATTGCGTCCTTACCATGATTATGCTTAAAAGTTGATAAGATGGCTTGGAGATGTAACCCTTTAACATGTGCGTAGAACGGAGAATAAGAAAGTTGATGTATTGGCTGCTCTAGCTTCAACGCTAACCCTTCATGATCAGACACAAGTGACTATTTGTCAAAAATGGATAGTACCACCGTCAAATGAGGAGGAAAGTATAGAAAATGAGCTTAATCATCTCGTCGCCATTTCTGAAGCCACGAAGGAGGAGTGGAGACAACCCATTATTGACTACATGTGTTATGGGATACTTCCAGAAGATCCAAGGAGAAGGACTGATATTCGTCGTCGTGCACCTCGCTTCCTTTACTACAAGGACACATTATATAGAAGATCATTTGAAGGTGTACTATTACGATGCTTGGGAGAGGAAGAAGCAATTCAAGCTTTGCAAGAAGCACACTCGGGAGTATGTGGATCACATCAATCTGGACCGAAACTCCACTTTCACATAAGAGGATGGGGTATTATTGGCCAACCATGGTCAAGGATTGCTTAGATTATGCTCGGAGTTGCGATGCTTGTCAATTTCATGCGAATTTCATACATTAGCCTCCCGAAGTATTGCACCCAACTATTGCATCTTGGCCATTTGACGCTTGGGGATTTGATGTTGTGGGACCACTACCAAAATCTTCTGGTGGACACTTGTACATCTTGGTTGCAACATATTACTTCTCAAAATGGGCTGAAGCTGTCGCTCTTAAAGAAGTGAAGAAAGAGAATGTTGCAAATTTTATCTGAGTGAATATCATCTATCGCTTTGGCATCCCTCGCTATATAATAACAAGTTAATGAACAAAATTTGTGATCTCTTTGGTTTCAAGCAGCGTAAATCTTATATGTATCATGCTGCCGCCAATGGTCTCGCTGAAGCATTTAATAAGACTTTATGCAACCTTCTGAAGAAAGTTGTCTCTAAGTCCAAACGGGATTGGCATGAAAGAATGGAAGAAGCTTTGTGGGCATATAGGACGACGTACCGCACTCCAACTCAAGCGACACCATATTCACTCGATTTTGGTGTTGAGGCACTCCTACCACTCGAGCGTCAAATACCTTCCTTAAGACTTGCTATTCAAGAAGGGATCACTGAAGAAGAAAATGCTCGACTTCGTCTTGCTGAGTTAGAAACACTTGATGAAAGAGGCTAGAAGCCCAAAAAAACCTTGAATGTTATCAAGCTCGTTTATCTCGTGCTTTCAATAAGAAGGTTCGCTTGAGGTGCTTACAAGTTAGAGACCAAGTTCTCGCAGTAAGAAGACCCATCATTACTTCGCACAAGTCTGGGGGCAAATTTACCTAAAAGTGGGATGGACCATATGTCGTACAAGAAGCATATTCACATGGTGCTTACAAGCTTGTTGATGCAGATGGCGTAAGGATCGGTCCTATTAATGCAAAATTCCTAAAGAGGTACTACCCTTGAAGTAAATATGATGCTCCTTAAGGTACGAGCCTAAACCTGCATGTCACTCCTGGCCTGCAAGAGTATAAATTGTGTACGGCACAACAAAAAGAAAATTAAAAAAAATCACTCAATCCCCCAGAACTACGTTGTGACTTAATCCTCTTCATTGAGGTACGTAGGCGCTTAGAATATATCCTAAGTTCAGTTGCATGAGTGTCAAAAAATCACATGTTCCCACTTGATCTGTCACATGACAGTCAAAGCGATAAGTATTTTGTTTATCTTTGTCTCATCAAACTTTAGACTTGTACTAAGTATTGATTGTTCAATAGATGGGGGAAAACCCTTAAAAAATATGAGTTTCATTAACAACATGCTTGAAGTTTCTTTAAAATTGAAGTTTTCAAAGCCTCCAAGTATGCAAGCTGAAGTCTTCAAATCCTCCAAATATGCAAGCTGAAGTCTTCAAATCTTCCAAGTATACAATTTGAAGTCTTCAAATCTTCCAAGTATGCAGGCTGAAGGTCTTCAAGTCTTCCAAATATGCAGGTTGAAGTCTTCAAATCTTTTAAGAATGCAAATTAAAGTCTTCAAAGTCTTTAATTCTGCAAGTTGAAGTCTTTAAATTCTTCAAGTCTGCAAGTTGAAGTCTTCAAGTCGAATTCTTAAATCAATCCAGCCAGTAAGTTGAAACCCTCAAAAGTCTTTCAAATTAAAGCATTAAAACTGCAACATTTGCAAGACATATCCGAATGCGTAAGCTTGAAGAAATGAGGAACTTCTATTCTTATTAGCATAAATGTGGATGGAGCTTGGATTATTCAAACTTGCAATCAAAGAATAAAGAGCAAATTGAAGAATGCAATTAAAGATATGTAAGATGAAACAAAAGAAAACATTATCCTCATCTATAAAAAAATAAATCGTCTAGCATATCAATCAAACTCTAAATAAAATCTAATCCAAGTATAATTTGGAATTGATCAGTTCTTGACGCATAGCCTCTAAATGCTCTCTCTTTTGTCCGAGATCATTCGTCAAGTCCACGTCATAACATGAGTCAAATTCCTGGGTTGCAAGCAAGGTTGCTTGCTTGACTCCTTCAACTTCATCCTCGGCAGCTGCCAAATGGGCTTGCAAATCTTGCGCTCTTTTGCACAACGCTCTGATCTCTTTCTTCATATTATTCAACGAATGACGAAGGGAGGACACATCCTCAACTTTATCTTGCTCCTCGAACATAGAATTTGTGAGTCGTTCTCCCGCTGCTACAAACAACTCTTTTCTAGCGTTTTCCACATCCATATCATGAAGGGTCGATCGTGCTTGATCATATGAAGCCGCAAAATCAAAGAAAGAGTTCAATAACTTTTTCAAAGGTGAAATGTCCACGTCCTTGCAGTCCATCTCTTTGATAATTACTTGAATTTCATCTCTAAGAGAAGAAGCAGAATCTACGTCACTTCTTGAAAGTTTGCCCTTAATAACATTCCAAAGAGCAGAAATAAAATATTTTTAAGCATCTAAGATGACTTTCTTCCCATCAAACACAGACATAGCAGGTAGAGGATGCTTGTGTACGTCATGCCCGAAGTCGTCTTTAGCCTCGTCACAAGAGACATGAAGTGTTTTTTTCACTTGAGTCATAGAAGGCGGTTTCATCAAATTTGAACGAGATATAAACTCACCACTATTTTGTGATTCTTCTCGTTATGGTGTAGCGACATTGTTCTCCTACATAAAAAAGGGAGAGGGGTAAATAGTCAAGTAAGAAAGTGCCAAGATATGGTCGATAAAGTAAAAGTCTTAACCATACCTTATTGAGAGAGACTGTTATAGTTCTTGAAGTGCTACTTGCATTGTCACACGACTCGACCACATGTGGGATATCATCGTCTAATACTCTTAATCTCCTAAAAAAGACTTTCTTGCTACTACTTTCACTCTCACCTTCAAGCAACCTCTTGGAAACATAAGCAGCTTGAGTAGGTGTCTTTCTTTTTTATGCTACCGAAGGCAATTGAGACTTTATTTTACGTTCTGGGGTACCTTAACACCCAAAGAAAAAGGCATACCATTGTTAAAAACATTGTTATTACGTACTTCCCCAGAACCCTCTAAATGTATGACGGTAATCGGCCTAGCAACATCCACTAAAGCCTGCAAATGATCATCAAGAAATTTCCCATGAGTTTTCTTCCACCAAGCCGATAGTCAGATCCAAAAGACTTTCCCGCATTAGGTGTGATTGAAGGAAAAGTTGCTCGTGATGCAGATCAACTCATAGCGCAAATTCACCAAAACGTAACACCCTTGTCCAAAGAGGCATTGCGAATGTCATTCTTCATGATACCAGGGATGTTTTGGTAGAATTCAAATTAACGACTGAAGCGATGTGGACTATATGGATCAATAATGAATGAATATCTACATCGAAGAGGAAGATAATTAAAGTGAATACTCATGAAATAGCTCATCTCCACTTTTGATACATGATTATTATCCACATAAAAGTAAGGGTGCGTCTTATCCAACATAGTAGATGTCCAAGCTACATTTTCCCCACCATGAATGCATTTTCTCACATCATTGCTGTCAAAATACCTTGCACCACCCTCTCCAGAATATACTACCATAGTGGCAAGAAATGACCCATTGGAAAATGCATAATGAGTCTTCAAGTAATGAGCAAGCCAGCCATAAACATAGTGGATGAGGAAACAGACTTTAATTTGATTAAGTTGTGATAAACTCGAGATCTTGTTTAAACCATTGTAGATGATGGCTAACACTGGAACCGCAAGGCTAATCTTCTTCCCACTCTCCATCAAACTTGCCATCTTGAAAGTTCCTGGACGAATAAACTCACCCTCCTTATTGGGAAGGACAAAAGCACACAACCAACAAGATAAGAAAGCGCCTAGATATGTTTCATCTCTTTTGTCAACTTTCACTCCAAGTCCGGAAAATATCCTTTCTTCGATGCGTGACCACCTTGTTGTATTAGGTAAGCCCCCACTAGGATTATGGGTTGATTCAGGTCGAGCAGACTTCTTTTCCTCCCTTGGTGGAGCAGCTTCATACCTCTGAGGTTTCTTACACCAAAAACTTATCCACTTGCTAAAAGATACTTCTTGATTAGCTCCCCGAAGATGATGAAATGCCGCAAACAAATATTCACAAGTCCGAGGAGTATATTTGATCCTCTTTTCATCGGAGCCCACAAGTTCCTTGACCTCGGGCACTATTTCTTCATAAAGAGCACCCCAAATTGGTAAACCTCCAAGAATATGTAAATCCCATAAAGAAATAGATAATTCTCCAACAGATGTAAGAAGTGTATTGGTTTTTGGACACCAAACTTCACAAAACGCTTGTAAAATGTCTGAGTTACGGTCATAAGTGAATAAAGATGCATAAACGGCATCATAAATTTGAGCCGTACCCAATACCTCTTGGCTTCTACCAAGTATACCTCAGTCCACTCCCAATACCTGGAATGTGATGATACTCTCCCTTAACTTCCATTGGGTTCCCCCATCGTATCTCGCCTTGAATTATGCGACGACCTAAACTTGGAAGAGGAGTTGCAATATTAGCATGATGATGATCTGGCACTTGAAGAGACCACAACTTGAGTAGATCACTGGAAGTATGAGTGTGCACCGAAGTCCAATTCGCCATATGAAATGGATTTTTCAAAGAAGACCACGGATTTGCATATTGACCGACTAGTGGAGCATGAGTAAAAAATTGTGTTTGTTCTCCCCCTTCTTCAGTCTCAACTATAAGATGCCTAAGTCGGGTGGAGGGAGAGATGTATTGCCTGAAAATCGTCATTTCTTCAAACTGCAAGGTATAAAATAAGGTCGTTAGTGACAAACTTGGGCATACAATAGCAAAAAAAAAACTCTGTTACTCTTAAGGCGGGGATTTTTTTTTATCTATCCTCTTTCGCCTTAAGAATACCATAAATTACCTTTCTTAAGGCGGGGATTTACATCTATCCGCTTTCGCCTTAAGAATACCATAAATTACCTTTCTTAAGGCGGGGATTTACATCTATCCGCTTTCGCCTTAAGAATACCATAAATTACCTTTCTTAAGGCGGGGATTTACATCTATCCGCTTTCGCCTTAAGAATACCATAAATTACCTTTCTTAAGGCGGGGATTTACATCTATCCGCTTTCGCCTTAAGAATACCATAAATTACCTTTCTTAAGGCGGGGATTTACATCTATCCGCTTTCGCCTTAAGAATACCATAAATTACCTTTCTTAAGGCGGGGATTTACATCTATCCGCTTTCGCCTTAAGAATACCATAAATTACCTTTCTTAAGGCGGGGATTTACATCTATCCGCTTTCGCCTTAAGAATACCATAAATTACCTTTCTTAAGGCGGGGATTTACATCTATCCGCTTTCGCCTTAAGAATACCATAAATTACCTTTCTTAAGGCGGGGATTTACATCTATCCGCTTTCGCCTTAAGAATACCATAAATTACCTTTCTTAAGGCGGGGATTTACATCTATCCGCTTTCGCCTTAAGAATACCATAAATTACCTTTCTTAAGGCGGGGATTTACATCTATCCGCTTTCGCCTTAAGAATACCATAAATTACCTTTCTTAAGGCGGGGATTTACTTCTATCCGCTTTCGCCTTAAGAATACCATAAATTACCTTTCTTAAGGCGGGGATTTATATCTATCCGCTTTCGCCTTAAGAATACCATAAATTACCTTTCTTAGGGAGGGGATGTGTATCTATCCTCTTTCGCCTTAAGAATATCAGCTGCATGAAAGAATTTAAAGTTAACTTCAAAAAATCACTTAGAAAGATTCTGAAGGTATTAAACCCTGAATTTCGGATATGTTGTAGACCTTTGTGTATAGATTCTAAATAATCAAGCGGCTTGTGATTTCGTCGTTCCTACATCAAGATACAAGAGTTTTAGTAAAGCCACACAAATCTGCAATTTTCAGCATGACAGAATTTAAAGCTAACTTCAAAAAATCATCTAGAAATATTCTGAAGGTATTAAATTCCGAATTTTGGATATGTTAGAGATCGAGAAGTCTAGTTTCTGTAAAATCAAACCGTTCTTGATTTCGATTTTTCTACAATGAGATATGAATTTTCTACGACAAACGTGTCAAGCTGTAAAAAAGGGTGACGAAAATCAGAAAAAGGGAAGAAAACTACCTTGAATTATGCCCCTTTCGTCACAGGCTCGTAGCTCACAATCTGTAATTGAAGACAAA